AGGGGGAGAGGCACAGAGACATCCTCCTTTCAAACTGCACCAGGAACAGCAGAAGGGATTTTTTTTAAAGTCCCCAAATCAGGTAAAATTCCTGCCCCCACTCTCAGCATGCCCTCTCTTCTCCTCTGTCCTCAGCAGCACAGGTGCCCTGTTACTGCTGCCATCCCTTGTTGATGTGGGAAGAGGCTCCAGAGCTCCTCCTGCCTATCTCAGGCAGGAACAGGTGGAGCACTGGTGCTAGCTGGTGGGTTCCTCCTCTCTGCCTGGTCCCTGAGTGTCCATGCCAACCCAGGAGCAAGCCCGCTGCTGTCTTCTGTGAGCCTAGCTGCAGTGACTCTGGAGCCCTCTCTGCTATGAAATGAATTGGGGTAGTTGTGGTTTGAGAGGACTGTGGTGGAAAAGGCTCCAGAGCCGCTGCAGCAGAGAACAGGAAATGGGAGGGTTTGTCCACCTTGTGCTTATTTCCCAGCTGGCAAGGAACATCTGGAGGATGGGACAGCAAGGAAGGACCCACCCACTGCTTCTGCTGCTGTTCTCTGCTAAGACCAGCTGGAGAGGGGAGGGAGCAGCTCTGGAGCCTCCCTCACCCCATCAGCCCAGAACAGTAGCAGGGTGGGTGTGCAAGGGGGTGAATGGGAAGGGAAGGAATGTGTTGCTGAGGACAGAGGGGAAGGGAAAGGATGCCAAGAGGTGTGGCGGGGTGGATTCTAAGTTGATTCAGGGACTTTTTAAAAGTTCCTGCTGCTGCTCCCATGATGCAGTCTGTCTGCCTAGGCTGGGGGAGTCTTTAACCACCCTTGCAGCACCAGTCACTGTTTCCACACCCTGCTTCACAAAATCCTGGATGTGCCCATGTACATGGCCTATGTAAATCATCTTTACTGGGTGTATCTACACATGCCAGGTCATTTCCAACCCTACTGCACAGTAGCGTCAGCATCACAGTTTATGCACACCAATGCTATGACACCATAGCTCATCACTATGGCAATGTAGCGTCTCATGTAGACGTGCCCACTATGGCTTAGATTTTCTGCAGCAACCACCTTCATACAGCTTATGACTCTCCCTGTTCCCCAAAGTCACTTACCTCGCAGTTCCTAGAAGAACCAATGAAGGAGATTTTGGGTAGTTTCCAAATGGAAAGCAAATCATAAAGGATGAAAGTAAAGGAAGTAATTGATAGAATGTGACTGTGGTACTCATGGCTTTTTTCTTCTCACTTGTGGATGTTATTTCTCAGGACAACTGTGTATTTATCTCTTAATCTACCCATAGCACCAGTTCATCTTTTATTTTATTGTAGGCCAAAAACTACCAGCCTTTGGATACCCACATCTTCTATGTACAAAAGTGCCCTCTTTCAGGTTTGTAGCTACAGCCATTCTCTTTTGATTCCAGTGTACACCAAGATGGCACCTAACTAATCTGATACAGCAAGTTTAGTATGCATGCCTGGCTACACAAATCTACTGATATTTTTCCCAAGACACTTAGGATGGGCTTCCAGTTCTTGGCAGATGCCACTTTTCATAAGTGTTGTTCCCAATCTACCTCCAGTCCTGTGTCTGGATTTCTTTTCCTAAGCAACAGGAGGTCGCACAAGTCCAAATTTTTGCACTTTCACATGGACAGAAATAATATTATG